GAAACAGTCTTAAATGTAATTATTGTGCTTTATTTCACACCAGAATCATAACACAAACTTTTAAACAATGAGAACAATAAACAAAATAAATGACAATAATTTGTATTAAATAAAATTAAGCATCATCTCAAACAACTTTTTTGTTTTATAAAATATAATTTTTTTGTAATATTTTATTAACATGTAATAGTACTGTAATATAAATAATTATTGACAAAATGTACATTGCAGATGTTAGCCACATTGGTAAGTTAGCTAAAAAGATAGCCATTAATTGCCTCGTCAAATTACGAAAACGTTAGTTTGTCACAAAATAAATTACACTTGTTTGACTTAGATTTGAGGGCATGGCTTGAGCATGATGTAATTATGTTATCTATCACATTCACTAACCTGTCTGTCTTTAAATTCTTTAAACAGCTCTGGATTCCGGTCGGCGAGGTGCTTAGCCAAGTCTGATGTGTTGGCTCCCTTGGTTTGCAGGGATCTGAAACATGTCTCACAGACAGGCCTCGTGGTGTCCGTAGGCTTGCCCTCACTGTCAGAGATATCGCTCAAATACTTCCACATTTCGCTTCTGGCGTCTTTTTTGTCAACAAGCCGAGGCGCAGCGGCAGTTGCACTCCCACTTGCAGCCATGCTTCTCGTCTTCTCACATGCTCTGGCAGCTAGCGCGTGCACGAGAGAGGGGAGGCACTTAGAGCGTGCTTGAGAGGGGAGGGACTTAGAGCGTGCTTGAGAGGGGAGGCACTTAGAGCGTGCTTGAGAGGGGAGGGACTTAGAGCGTGCTTGAGAGGGGAGGGACTTAGAGCGTGCTTGAGAGGGGAGGGACTTAGAGCGTGCTTGAGAGGGGAGGGACTTAGAGCGTGCTTGAGAGGGGAGGGACTTAGAGCGTGCTTGAGAGGGGAGGCACTTAGAGCGTGCTTGAGAGGGGAGGGACTTAGAGCGTGCTTGAGAGGGGAGGCACTTAGAGCATGCTTGAGAGGGGAGGGACTTAGAACGTGCTTGAGAGGGGAGGCACTTAGAGCGTGCTTGAGAGGGGAGGCACTTAGAGCGTGCTTGAGAGGGGAGGCACTTAGAGCGTGTTTGAGAGGGGAGGCACTTAGAGCGTGCTTGAGAGGGGAGGGACTTAGAGCGTGCTTGAGAGGGGAGGCACTTAGAACGTGCTTGAGAGGGGCGGGACTTAGAGCGTGCTTGAGAGGGGAGGGACTTAGAGCGTGCTTGAGAGGGGAGGGACTTAGAGCGTGCTTGAGAGGGGAGGCACTTAGAGCGTGCTTGAGAGGGGAGGGACTGCAGGCACGGCTGCAGTGCAGGGAGTGGAAGCAGAGCGCTGAACACACACGGCTCTTATTAAAACAGCGCTTTTTCACCGGAGTACTTTTCCCCGTCATTCTTAAAGTACCGATACTAATGAAACGGAGGGATGGTGACGTTTTTAATGGCAGGGTATCACGGTATCGCGATGGTCGTATAACAGGAAGTGACGTTAAGACATGTATACAATTGCAATGAAAGTAATAAGAACAATGCCATCTCCTTTTCAGGTTCAAATAACACACATTGGGTTATTTACATAAACTATTCAAATTACAAATAATTTTTTTAACCAGGAAGGGGAGATGGACATGGATATGAGCCATGGGATTTGCAATATCGCAATATATCGTATCGCAATACTTAGCATATCGTAGAATCACAATACTATCGCATCGTTGCTTAAGTATCGCGATAGTATCGTATCGTGGGGAGCCTGGTGATTCCCACCTCTAATAACTACAGTGTAGATATGACAATAACAACTGAAGTCACCTCCAACAGAGCGACATGAACATATAAAGGACATACAACTAATAAAACAGATCAAATAGTGCAAGAGAATGTTGTAAGACACTCAAGACCCTGGTACTGGTCTACCGAGCTGTGAAGGGATCTGGTCCATCCTTTAACATGATGTGTTATTCAAAATACAGATCCTTTTTTTGTTGTTTGTTGAAAGCTACTTTTCAGATATACTCATAGTTCGTCATCTTGCAAAAAAAAGAATTATTTTAATGTGATTACAACATGACGGTTGATTATTTTCGTTCAACTAAACAAAGAAATTCGACCCCTTTTTATTGAGATTTTTTACATTTAGGCAACACTTTAATTTAAAAATGATAGTTTTTTTTTTTTAAATGATTCACATTCACCCTTGAAAGCTTTTGAATTTGAGGAAAATGAAATGAATAAATAGACAAAGACATATTTAATTGAAGTGCTTGAAATTATATATTTTGTGAAAGCATATCGTTTATTAGATGTGATTAATACTTTCTAACTTACCGTAAGTAAATGGACTAAATCCTGCATGTTTCCACTCCGACATCAAGGCCTTGGTCAAACCATTTACTCCAACAACGTGCACTACGCTCTGTGTCTGCCAAACGGCTTTCTACGCCATCATTATTAGTATTATTATTATCACTGCGAGTGGGACCCAGATCATGGATGTATAATAAGAACTGGATACAGCGTGGGAGGCGGGGCCTCGTTCTTTCCTATGAGAGCTGCTCATTGGCGCATGAGGACAAAATGGCCCAACTTTTGAGAGAGTGAAACGTCACAGATTACCCAGCATGCCTGGCTGTCAGAGCAGAAGAACCCGTATGTGCGCTCACAGAGCATGCACCCCTTAAGCCCCGCCTCCTGCCATTAAGCCCCGCCCCCCCGAGCTCCCACTCTCGGCTCACTAGAATGAATGGAGAGACAATACATCTAGATTCGGCTTTTAGTGCATTTTACAACTTTAAGGACCAAATGATTCTAATAAGGGCTATACAATAGTTCATACTGGGTAGTTTACTTAGTTAAAACAAATATCCACCGATTTACAGACGTCTTTTTCCTCATGTTAGTCAATGGGAAAAAGTATTTCTGGGCCCAGTGACGTCACGGACTGATACGGAAGTTGCAGTACCGCCAAATAGTTCCTGAACAGTGTCCTTCACATGCTGATATCCAAGAGAGGGAGTTACTCAGTCACAAGATGGAGGAATAGAAAGCAGTATTCAATGTTTACTTCAGATTAGCTCCACGTCAGAAATGAGCATGCTTGATGTCTCTCTCCATAGAGGCTGAATCATCATGTTAATCACATAGCTATCATCTGCCTCAAACAGTCCTGATGCTCTTCTAGCTAATCACACATCCTGTCATGTTCACAGCTACAGTTGGGATACCTTTGTTAGCATGTGGACTGGTTTTTGCACTCATTGAAAGTCCCTCTGGATAAAAGAGTCAGATCAATTAAATCCATGTTCACTAATGAGAAAACACATGTTGTGCCTGCAGAAAAAACCTCCTAAAAGTTCACTCCCTCCCTCGCTCTCTTATTATTTCCCAGACACAAATATATCTTTCTTAATTTAGAGGAAGGCGGTAACTTCATATCTAATTTCCTTTGGTCCTGCACACGGTTTATTGGTGATTATTCCCACAGCAACATTTTAATCAAGCTGATCAAGTAATTTCCTTTACTGGGAGAATGAATGGATTATTCAAATGACTTTTAACAAACACTGTATGTGAAAGAAAGTCTGTATAAAAAGCCTACATGTAGAAAATACAAACAGGTTATTATCCCTGTTCCCCGGAACTCTTTAATTCCTGAACTTTCTAGTAGATCGCGTTCAAACCGGAATAAGTCCCTGAGGGAGGATTATGCAAATGAAGCCGCTGACGTCACTTCTTCTGCTTTGGGTTTACTGGCAGGCCGCAAACAACTTCACGGCGTATACTGCCACCCAAAGTCCCCGGAGCCCCCCGGACTCCGGGACTTTGGGTGACTCCACCGCGTTTTATTTTGCATTGCCATAAGTTGGTCTCTCTCCGTTGGTGCGCTGGGCTAATGCTAATAATGCTAATGCGAGTAAATAAAATGGTGGCTTCACAAAACGTTTCTGTTTTTTACGGGGCGTGGTTTGCAATTCGCCCAGCCAATCAGAAATGGAAACCTTTTCCTCCCCAGGAAAGTACCACCTCTCTAACATGGGCTAAAAAGGGGTGAAAAGGTTCCCGAAAAAAAGTTCTAGTTCCAGATCTTTTTGGTGTGAACGCAAAATCCCAGGAACTATTCCTGGGAAAAGTACTCCGGTGTGAAAGCGCCTGATGTGAGTTATATCATTATAATTAAATAACAAAATGAGAAGATACAGACAAAGACATATTACTTTTAATTCATGAAATCTATTGAATTATTGTAATTATTATCTGCTGAAAGTTATCCCATTATTTTGGGGAAACATTAGTTATTTCGAAGTAATGGAAGAACTCGTCGCCATTAGTGAGTTTACCCGAGAAAATGGAGGACGTAAACTAAATGTCTTTCTGAATCCAAAAATAGCGTACATTTAAACTTTATCATGAAGTTAGCATGATGTGTTTTTCAAAAATACAGACCCGTTTGTCCTTACTTCGAATGACTCTGCTTTTAAGATTTTGTTTTATTTTTTTTAGATCTTCTCCATATTTTATATCAAAACTAGAGGGTTTATGTTCTAATGAAATAACTGGATGTGATCTTTAATCATTTAGGTTTTATCATTCCACAACTTCAACCTCCTTTTTACTTTCTTTGTGGAGATGAATGACCTTTTGAGAAGTATTTTATTTTGGTAGGATAGTTGGGGTGCAAACTCGATTCATGTTGACCCTGGAACGTTTTTGAATTTGAGAAACAAAAGAAATAGACAATAGTCATTTGGAGTACTTGAAATTATGAGCAAGCGTAGAAATGATATGAAGTTATATGTTTTTGTTCACTTACCGTTAAACGTAAACAGGCGGCATCCTGTTGTTTGCATGATTGTGTTCTGCACCAACTGCTTCAAAAAATGTAAAGGGTAATTCATCTTGAATGTGAGGAAAATGGAGCTTGAAAGTCATTGGGAACCTTGTTTTTATAACATGTATTTATTTATGTCTGAAGTCACCTCCTCCCTTTCTTTATCTCTCTTCAGGGACGTCTTCAAGGAGGACGACATCTCCATAAACTACCGCGACGCCGAGGACGACCTGATCCGGATTCTGGAGGACGAGGACGTGCAGCTGATGATCCGAGAGAGCCGAACGCAGAGAGACAGAATCAAGAGGCCGGCCAATCAGTTCCTGTGGGAAATCCACGTGAGCGCGACCTCTGACCTCTCCGTGTACAACTCCGAGGCCTGAGAGGAGTTTAGAGAAATAATCTACAGAAGATATTTAGTGTTATTATAACAGATCAATGGATCTGATCCTGCAAGTTATAGATGTCACTGTTTCAGTTATTGGACGACACATTTCACTTCGTAATAAACTCCTTTAATTACATTTGACATGCCTTTTTTTTCCTACTGCACTCGAGAAGCTACAAGAGAATAATTACAGTGGGGCCACATGTGGCGAAAAATTGAGATCTGAATAACAGCGAATTACATTTTGAGTCCTGAGATTTTTAGGAAAACAAATTCTCAAAATTATTATTCTTTTGAGGAAAAAAAAATGTAATTGAATATTTACTGAAATAAATACAATTAAATGTTTCCAAGAATTCTGAAAACTAATAATTAAAAAAAATTCTGAATATAAATAATTTAATTATTCTCGAATTCTTTTTTATTTCAATTGGTTTTCTTAAGATTTCAGAATTTTTAGAATGTTGTCGGAATTCAGACTTTAATCTCATAAAAAAATCATATCTGAAAAATCGGAATTCCGATTTTTTTTCTCAGAATTCAGATTTTTAGAAAATTATCATAAAGAAAGACAGAAATTTAAATTCATATTTTTCTTCTGAGATTATTTTGAAAAAAGTCGGAATTCTGAGAAAAAAATCGGAATTCCTACTTTTTTTGATGAATAACATTTTTCCGAAAACCTCAGAACTCCAAGAAAAAAACAATGAAAAAATAAATATAGACTTTTTTAATAAATCTAAAAAAGAGAATGTGTCTTTTTCAGATTTATTTTTTCATTTTATTAAGTTTCAAAAATTCCTAAAATTCAATGATATTATATTTTCATGATAAAAACAATGACTCTAGAAATTCAGGAAAAAAAATATTCAGATTACATTTTTTTAGAAAATCTTAGAATTCTATGAAGACCCTAAAGGGACATGGAAAAAAAGAAGATAACAAAAAGTCGGGATAACGGTTTAAGAGACATACAAAAAAAATTTGAGAACAAAAATAAAGTCAGGAAAACGGGTTTCTCGTGCTCACGAGATACTTACCCGTTATCCTGACTTTTTTTTTACTCTCTCTTTATTTATTTTTTTCCATGTAGGGGCTCCGTAGAATTTACCTTTTTTCAGATTTATCTTTTCATTTTATTACGTTTAAAAAATTCTGACAATTTGATGATAATATTGTTTTCATGATAAAAACAATGATTCTGAAAATTCAGATTATTTTTCTCGGAAATACTTTTGGGGGGGGAAATAGCTGAATGTTGTCTTCTGTTTTCATTGAGATGTTGTTCAGGGTACTTTGGTCTCTCTCTGTCATTTTATGGTTGTATCATTGTTCAGCTTTTCTCCAGTTACAAAACCTTCATCCGTAACGACAGCTAAAAATAAAGAGGACTTTCTGCATCCTGAAACTGGTGGCCGGCAGGTGCAAACGCAGAACAACGGCCAAAAACGCATTCATAAGCAGGAAACAGCTGCAAATATTGTAATGAAAAACAAACAAATCCTGAAAACAAATAAAACCTAAATACAACACACAAACCCTGAAAACAAACGCAACAGAAAAATGCTGCAAATATAAAAACACACACAAACCCCAAAACACATACAAACACCAAAACACACACAAACCCCAACACTCTCCAGGCCTCTAGGGGGCGCGCTACGTGGAATAGATTGATTTCTGACCTGACAGAGAGAACGAACGAGAGTGATGGAAATCGGGAGGAAAAACAAAGTTGATTGAAGTGGAGAAAGATATAAGAAGGTAAGTTTTGTTTTGTTTTTATACAAAGAGCGTCATATTTACGCAGCTAGCGTTAGCGTGCCTAACTACTACACCAGCTGAGGAGAGCTTCACGTGAAGAGAAGATACAGTGAGGGAAGAACATTGTTAAAAGAGATGACAAATCGAGTGCAGGCAAATAACACGGGCCATAGTGAGTACCGCGGAAAAAGGACATTTGAATTCTTAGCAGTTTGTTTATATGTATGTATTTGTGTATAGATGTTGCAACTATACAGAGCTTTAGCAATTACCTGTAACTATGGTCATGCTAATAAAGCTATTGAATTGAATTAAGAGAGAAAGAGAGAGAGAGAACAACATGTGAAGAGGGACAAAGTAATGACAGGAGAGTAGTGTGCATTAGACATGCGCAAGAACAAATATAGAGAAGACATTCAAGGAGAGAGAACACAGATTCAACTGTAAACATGATGTATCTTTCTATTTATTTAGCTAACCACTATTTAGACTGTTTTTCATTGACTTGATTAAATGGATTCACTACATCAATGTATGTCTTTTCAGGCCGCCATGTTGTGTCCTTTCTGTGGCCAACATCTGGGGACAGTTCAAGTGTTCTGTGGCTCCTGTGGCAAACATGTACAGTTTGTGGCAGAAGTTGAACACAACAGTAAGTTCACCTTTTTGTATTGTATCTGTTTCAAATGCAAGACATAAGGATTCAACACTCTGCTCTGTTTAGAATACTAATTGCAGATGCATGCACTAGTTATCAGCATGAAGGACACATTTTGTCATCCTCTGTTTATGTGAGATATGTAGAAGCCATCATTAAATTGTAGACCAACGCATGATTAAATACACAAAACAGCTTATATTATACATTCATAATTGTGTATTAGTTATATCTTTATAGAGAATATTATACATTTAGAATCAGATTTTGAGACAGTGAGCCGAGCGGCTGGAAAGTCACACCGCCATGGGGCACAAACAGTTGCTGACGTGATGTTTTCTTCACATTCTCAGGCCTTCCATAAGGAGGGTCAGGAACACGCAACTCTGGATGTGTTTGAATGTTTGAGGAGCAATAAACGACAGCAGCTTTTTGGCATGTTAAAACTATTATTTTCTGCCTCGCTCATGAGAGGAACAGCTGGCGAAATTACAGCCTCGCCTACTGATTTCAAATGTGTGCTCTAAAATGATATTTATAAATGACTATTATTATAAGCAAGACAATAAATGGCAAAGATATGTAGAAAATAAACGTATTTGAGAAACATTCATAATGAACGTAACGTGGGAGAAAATACGTTTCTAGCTAAACGTAATTGAGAATGCAGTTGAGTTCTGTGGGAACGTCATTTTTAGGAGACAGGGTTGTCACAATACATTCTGATGAAAAATACAAATGATTATGAATACAAATAAAATAAAAGAAGCCTCCCGTGAGTTACTACAAGCTATAAATTAGATTTTAAAAACGTTTCATAGAATAAAAGCTCACTGCTGGACGTTGTATAAATGCGTGTGCGCACCACGACAAAGGAGCCTCATTCACTTTACATTGGGTTGTTTGCGTGGTGCAGACACGTAAATGTAGCAGAGTCCGTGACTCCACCACGCACTGCGGTGTTAAGGAGTCGTGGTGGAGTCACGCATTCTGGTGAGACCAGGTTGTATTGAACCTGCTGCAAGATGTATTTGTTCTTTTTGCAGAGTTCTGCAACAATGTGTGCCGCAGTCAGGTATTCTGTGCTGGGAAAGACACACTGATGTATTGTAATATTAAATGATGAAGCTAGTAATAAGATTTAAAGTATAGAATAGAACAATTAAGTGGTAATAGTAACAATTAATGCCTTTGCTCCATTTTGTCTTCTGGCTCAGACTGGCTATTAATAATGATACACATTTGTGTAGTTGCTGCAGTGAGAAGACAGTTGAATAATTACTTTCAAATACATAATATACGCATGACAGTCGTATTTACAAAAGGATGTCGATCCTCTTCCTGTTTCTTTAATACATTGGGTTCTAAACTGACAACAGCACTTTGTCGTACTCCTGCACAATCCTTGTAAACATTTGAAATGGATGCAACAAACAATATCTGATCTTTGAAAAATATTTGTGGGTGTTTTTTGTATCGTCTTCACTAAGATGTCCGATGTTGTGGGTGTCATTTGGAAATGTATGAAAGTATAATTGTTCTGCTTCCTGGCAATGTTACCCACTGTGATTGGAGGCTATACAAACAAACAAATGTAAAATAAAGATACACCAAACAACTGTGTCACGATGCAACTGTCAACCTCGTTTACCGATAGAAGTGGTTCTGACCCGGGGCAGAACCACTTCTATCTACTGGACCTCTTCCTGGAATGGGCTTGGTTCCTATTTGTACTCAGGAAATACATGCAGTTGATCTAATCACAGTGTCATTAGTACACAAAGGTATTTATTGATTTCATCTTCCCAAATTCGAACCTACATGGTATAATTACATTTTGAATCAGTCTTACCCGATCAGACGCTGGCTGTGGGGCCGGAGAGGTCTGATAAAGGTAAACAACAAATATATTCAAACTACTGTGCTGTTAAAACATTCTGCTTCTTGTGGCACAAAATAATATGTTGGCAATGCTTTATTTTACCCTGCAAACTGTTGTCCATTCGTGGAGTGCTCACTGTTGGAACATTTGGAATGTCTCAGGCTGTACTTTATATCCATAAAGAAAAAGTAAATCTGTTAACAGTTGTTTCATATGGATGTTGAGAGGTATCCATATATCCTTCATGTTGCTCTCAAAGTGCACCAGATTGATGCTTCTAACTTCAATATTGAAAACAAAATCTTCCCGGGGGAGCATGCCCCCAGACCCCCCTAGAGGGTGTCAGGTCCACTCCCCACTTATAAAAATAGCACTTTACCCCTGCACCCCCTCTAATCTCAGATGCACCCTGAGTCATGTTGTTTAGGTTCAGTGAGCCTTTCTAGAATATACAGTAAAGAGACGAACCAGCATTACAGGATATATATGACTTTGAGCCAAATACTTGTTTTTGGGCTCTATAAATAAATTGACTTGAAACAGTTGCTGATTTAGAGTACTGGCTCCTTTTTGATTCCAATTCAAGCACTGCCTATAATATACATGATGTCAAGAGTTACAGTAGGTGCACAATGCTGTCTCCTGACTTGCAAGCTCTTTCACCAAACAAGCTAACGCTAGCTGGGTAAATATGACGCTCTTAGTATCAAAACAAAACGTACCTTCTTATATATCGACTTTGTTCACTTCGATCAACTTTGTTTCCTCCGGCTTGAATTTCCATCACTCTCGTTCGTTCTCTCCATATCTAGTCAGACATCAATCTGTTCCACGTAACGCGCCCCCTAGAGGCCTGGAGCACTGTGTGTTTTGGGGTTTGTATGTGTTTTTGTATTTGCAGCGTTTTTCTGTTGCGTTTGTTTTCAGGGTTTGTTTCTTTTTCATTTCCTTATTTGCAGCTGTTTCCTGCTTATGTATGCGTTTTTGGCCGTTGTTCTGCGTTTGCACCTGCCGGCCGCCGTACAAATCTCACTGAACCCAACCGAGATTTTGAGGCAAGATATTGCAAACATTTGAACGTCAGAGTACTAATCCACTAAAGCACATGACCCTACAAAACTGAAATACATTTAAACCGTATTTACGTTATTATTTAAACACCAAGAGTCCCGTCACTAAGCCTTGAAGCGGCTGCTTAGAGGATCAAAGCTAAATGTGAGTGGAAACGGCTTTACCTGCACTCCATTTATCATGACAACAACAACAAAACACTGCATAGTAAATGTACTCCATCTCTGCCAAGGTGAAACCAAAGTCACTCTGCTTGTCAATCCTTTAAAATCTCACTCGCCTTTAGAAATTAAAACGAATGCAATAGCTGTAATGTCTCCACTGTGGTTTATCAACACTCAGTGTGTCTTTGCGTGAGTGGATTTGTGTTTTCCTGTTGAATAGCATGACATTGGCCTGAGAGTGAATTATAGTGATGTGCATCCATTTAGGCAGAACTGAAAACCCCATGATCACCCGAACAACTTAATTTACACCACCGTGTGTCGGGGGATCCAGATGTGTTTTAGAACAAGTGAAAAAGGTTTTTCTCTGAGGCTGAATGTTGGTTTATTCTCACATGTTTCTACATTTCTGTCACTTTCACACTCTCTTCTAACCCGATCAGTAAGAAGGTCGTCTGTGTTTCATGTTCTCCTGTCCACCTGTAATCTGGATTTAATCATCGGCATTCGTCTTTCCTGCCTGTTTTGCATTCAATTAACTCATCGTGCACCTTCATTAGAGAACTGGGCCGGATCTACCATATGGGCAACCTGGGACAGTGCCATGTGTACGATAAGATAAGAAGTACTTTATTGATCCCATTTAGGAGATGTTTGCGTTGCAGCAGCAAACAAAGACATGGCATTGTACATTGGAGAAATTAAAAGACTAGAAATAAGAAATCTAAAATGTAAACGTCTCAAATAGCATTAAAAAAGTAAAACATATACATGTTGAAATACACATTTAAAGTAACAACATAAAAGCAGGATATATACAGTAATTGAGCAAGGAAGGGATTATTAAATATTAGATTGAATATAAATGTACAGTGTGATTTTAAGTCCAGTTATCAAGTGTCTGTTCGGTTGGTAGATTGAGAGTTTTAATTCATTATTTACATTTCATATCGTCTGTTCTTTGGATACTCTATTGATATATATATAAGGTTTTACTGTAAGAATCACACACAATTATTCAATAGTGCAGAAGTATTACGTGGTGTTAGGGTTGTGGGGCACTTTGAGTTTTGTTTACTCAAATGAAAAGTGTGCTTATAAATAAAATTGATTATTATTATTAATATTATGAGCTGGATAATCCGGCCTTGATTAGAATCAGAATCAGGGTTATTACCAGGTAGGTTGACACATACGAGGAATTTGACTTGGTGTTTTGGTGCATAAACATACATAAAATAAAACAAAGATTAAAAACTATTGAAGACTATAATAACATTAAAAAATGTTAACAAAAATACAGTAAAGAATAGCAGTATTTACATTGAATATGGTTGTAATCCTAGACATAGAAATGAATAGAATATGTGCAGTAGAGCCAGAGTCATGCAAACTTACCATGATCTGTGAACGTGAGGAACATGGTGAGTAGTAGAAAGTGGACATTGTGATGAAAACTTCTGTGCAGCAATGCAGAGGAAATGATGGAAGCTGGATCGTCTTTAGTCAAACACTGATATTTATTGAGAGAGAATACAGCCGGAGAGTTCACAAGGTAAATTCACACTTTCATGCGAGCAACCAAATCAACTCTGAAGACAAAGGACGACAGAAACACAGATATATACATAAAAAGAGGAGGGACCTATATTCCCTCCTTTCCCCTAATCATTACCAGACATCGGAACAAAGGCACCTTTGTATTGCAACTCCTCATGTGCCCAAACCCCTCACCCACAGGAAGGCAGAGGACTTCTTGACCTGTGTCCTCCTGAAGTTACACGCAGGATCACATGCGACTCAACAAAAGCACACGTCTGTTAAGCAACAGTTTATAAGAAAGACTGAGAACCTCTAAACACACAGATCGGATTAAAATATTCTCTGACAGACATAAAGGAAATATTTGTGGTATAATGCAATTAACTATATTCACTTGTTCTTATGCCACTTTATACTTCTTCGAACCATTTGAGGGTGAACATTCACACTTTGACTCCACTACATATATGTGACAGCTTTATTTACGATGCAAGTTCATATTATAAATACAAAATATAAATTAGAGCAGCACAATTTGGAAAAAAATTACAAAATGTAATTATTTTCACTGATAATGCAATGATAAACGAACCAGTAAAATGGGGCAGGCTGTACCAATAGGCATGAAACAGAGGGGATTCAGTTCTGTAAATTAAAATATATTATATTCGTTGTCTTCATTGGTATTTAATGATAAAGCCAGAGATGTCAGCAGTCATTTAAAGCACAAATATTATTGGTATGTTCTTTATTCTGAGAGATGTGGATGCTTTGATTATTGCGTCCCCCCCTGTGATAATGGTATGGTCCAGTTACTTGAGGCTGAGAAGGAAAATGGCCTCTCCTGAGATTACTGGTTTATTTAGTGGAGTTTTTTCTTCATTTTAATGTTGTTTTATTGAAATTCCCAGGTTTTATTTCCTCCTTTTAAAGTATACTCTCTTGTTTGTACGTTCTCTCATGCAAAACTACATCATATGGACTTTGTATGGGAAGCAGCTGCACCACCTCACAACAGACTGGAAATAAGGACACACAAGTTAATCTTAACAAGTAGCTTAGTTTGCTAAAAACTAGTGAACAGGTAGTAAAATGAAGCAGGAGTCAACCAAAATAGAGGCAGGTAATGACAGATAAACAGGTTACAAACTCTCCTGTGTCTTCCCTCGTTGGTAGAAGGACTTCTATCTTTAAATATAAAATACCTTCTTCTGTCTTACATGCAGCCTGGTTAATGCTAGCTGTGGTCTCAGAAACATAGTGTGCCAAAAGTGAAAAAGCATTGGGTGTCTCCACACTACTGAGTTATTCCTGCAAACGACTTGAAATTACAATTTTGAGTTAACGTGTCCACAAAAATACCCCCTTGGAAACAGGAGGTCTTGCATCATCTTGCCTTTTCAGATATAAAACCACTGACTTTGAAACAGGTGAACTTGCAACCCTGGCCGTTCCTCAATCTCGAGGATGCTTTCTTGGTAGTCGCGTACTTCCAAGTCACTTCCTTCAGAAACGAAGCAAGTATGCTTCCAAGCCACGGCTTTGGAAAACTAAGAAGAATGGAACAGACTAAGTGTGCCACTCTCTCTAACGGTTTCAACATAAACTACCGAAAATAAATACCTCACGATGTCTATCTAATTATGAACTTGCTTTACTTTCACGGAACACATTTCTGGTGATAACAAAGTAACACATGTTCTACGCCACTATACTTACATTTAAATGTGTGCTGCGTCGGTTCAGCCATTCTCCGCAAGGGTTTTTGAAATTGGTCCGTGCGCAAAGCATTGTGGGGATTTTAAGGACGCGAAGTCTACCCATGTGCAGCCTCGAAATTTCCCCCAAACCAAGGACGCGGCCTCGGTGGAATTCCAAGTGTACTGGAGATTGGAACAGTCCTTCGGCGGCACTCAATGACGTAGCATCCTTGACATATTGGCTTGGAAGCCAGTTTCCTCGAGATTGAGAAACGGCATTAAACTGCATTCTCAATTACGTTTAGCTAGAAACTTATTTTCTCCCACGTTACGTTTCTTATGAACTTATCTTAAATAGGTTTATTTTCTACATATCTTTGCCATTTATTGTCTTGCTTATAATAATGATAATAGTCATTTATAAATATCATTTTAGAGCACACATTTGAAAGGCTGTAATTGTGCCAGCTGTTCCTCTCATGAGCGAGGCAGAAAATAATAGTTTTAACATGCCAAAAACATGCTCTGTCGTTTATTGCACCTCAAACATTAAAACTAGGGCAGTCAGTCGATTAAAATAGTTAATCGCGATTAATCGCAAATTAATCGCACATTTTTTATCTGTTCTAAATGTACCTTAGAGGAATATTTTTCAAGTTTTTAATACTCTTATCAACATATGAGTGGACAAATATGCTTTATGCTAATGTTTATTATCATTTGAACAATGACAAATATTCTCATGAATATTAAACACAACAACCTCTGAACATTACAA